GTCGGGGCTCTTTCAAGAAGCCGGAAGCAAATGAATTTGTGAGGCAATGCCTAAGAAGAGCGCAAGGCCTTTACCAAACTGGAGTTGCATTACTTATTGATAATGCTCCATGCCACTCTACTATTGAAGAGGTTTTTGCAGAAAACGAATTTGAACACCACACACTTTTACGACTAAGTCCGTACAGCCCTATGTTTAATCCTATTGAACAAGCGTGGTCTGCATTAAAAGCAGGAGTAAAAGCAGATATGGCTGTACAGCTAAATAACATCTTGGCTGGTGCTGACCGGGATCATCTGACTCAAACAGAATATCGAATGCAGAAATTAGAGAACACCGTTCATAATAATATGGACAAGATTACTGTTGCCAATTGCGCAATGTTTATTGCCCACATCCAACGATTTATCCCTTCTGCATTGAATATGCAAGATATAAATTTTTAAGAGTGTTATTTAAAACATAACGTTACCTACTTTCTTAAGTAATATAATTGTTATCTACTGTGTTTGTAAGTCAATAAAATGTTTTTGCCCATTTCATTTTATTTAATGCTGATATATAATTTTATTTCCATGTCAATTTAAAATTCATAAGTGCCAATATGATATGGACTAATGTCATTTTGATTTTGTTTAATGCCGATTTGCTTTTGATTAGTGCTAAATTTGTTGATTAATGCCAATATGATATTGTTTATTGCCAATTTGATATTGACTAATGCCATTTTAATTTTGATTATTGTCAATTTGATTTTGACTAATGCCAATTTGAAATTGACATTGCCAATATGATTTTGACTAATGTCATTTTGATTCTGATTAGTGCCAATTTGTGCTTGAAAAGGTATAGACCTAGAACTAGAAAGTTTCAATACTTTCTAGTCCTAGGTCTAGTGTTAGTTCTAGTTTTAGTGCAATAAAAATATGCAACATAGTGATATCTTATGCTAACTACTGCTACCTACCACTGTCACTAGCATTACTCCTAACTCAACGTTCAGATTGATACAAACTGTATCAAAGCTCACAAGTATAAGATTATTATCATAAATCAGTTTTAAGCCAACCAAAGCTTTGGATGTCTTCTTTGTGGCATAGATTTTGATGGAAATTTTTATGAATTTTTTGATTAAAATGCATTTCTCTAAATTAAATTCAAGAACATTTTGTAGACAAAATCGAAATTACTATTTTATATATTTTCTGTGACGTCTTCAGACGCACGGCTAAACCCAATACTTTCTAGTTCTAGGTCTAGTGTTAGTTCTAGTTTTAGTGCAATAAAAATATGCAACATAGTGATATCTTATACTAACTACTGCTACCTACCACTGTCACTAGCATTAGTCCTAACTCAACGTTCAGATTGATACAAACTGTATCAAAGCTCACAAGTATAAGATTATTATCATAAATCAGTTTTAAGCCAACCAAAGCTTTGGATGTCTTCTTTGTGGCATAGATTTTGATGGAAATTTTTATGAATTTTTTGATTAAAATGCATTTCTCTAAATTAAATTCAAGAACATTTTGTAGACAAAATCGAAATTACTATTTTATATATTTTCTGTGACGTCTTCAGACGCAAGGCTAAACCCAATACTTTCTAGTTCTAGGTCTAGTGTTAGTTCTAGTTTTAGTGCAATAAAAATATGCAACATAGTGATATCTTATACTAACTACTGCTACCTACCACTGTCACTAGCATTAGTCCTAACTCAACGTTCAGATTGATACAAACTGTATCAAAGCTCACAAGTATAAGATTATTATCATAAATCAGTTTTAAGCCAACCAAAGCTTTGGATGTCTTCTTTGTGGCATAGATTTTGATGGAAATTTTTATGAATTTTTTGATTAAAATGCATTTCTCTAAATTAAATTCAAGAACATTTTGTAGACAAAATCGAAATTACTATTTTATATATTTTCTGTGACGAACGAATTTGCTTATTCCGCAAATATTTACCTTTAATCTAACTAAAATTACCGCCTAATGGATTCCTTGCTGACGAAATTTGAATTGTAGATTGTTCGGTGCAAACAAATTTTGCTTTTCGAGCTTTAATGATAACGATGTAAGGGGATTTGTATTAAACTTTATTGAAGAACTGCTCTTTTTTTGTTGCGTCGACTGATGCGTTAATTTTTAATAAATATCCAAAACTGTTGATTTCCCTTAACGTAACAAATCACATTATCGTGGCGATATAACGGTGATTTATATTAAAATTTTTAACGTTCGATACATCCAACATGAATACCGAATATTTTGCATATTTAAACAATGCAGATTATGCAGCCATAGCATAAATATCGATCGGCGGCGCGACGGCTGTACGTAGTACAAATCAAATCCGGCATTGACAGTGTTCTGGTAATAAATTTATATTTCATGCCTATTTGTCCTGATAATACGTATCGGTTTCCATTACCCTATTAAGCCAGTCTCACTGGTTTCCCAGATAAAACAATTCATAACTTTGAAATACTAAAATTGTTTTCACCAAGAAATGTTTTCTCAAAAAATAAACAAAATTTTTATTAAAACATGAAAATAATGAAAATAAGATTAATTACTTCCCCAGAGACGTTATTTTCTCCCGTTTTCAAAAAGATGAAAATATATAATGATTTATTAGCCGGAGTTTTCTAGGGGGAAGTTTTATTTTTTCTTTTTTTTTTATTTCATGCATAAAAGTATTCATTTCAAGAATTTTTAAATCTCTCCACATTATTTATTTCAATCTATGTTGTAATTTTTTATTACGTGATATTTCCACATTATCAAAGCCTTTGTTAGTTTTACAATTTATTTTTAAGTGGATAAGACTTTAAACACGCACATCAATATGTTTAAAACGTAATTATTTCTTTCTTTATTGAACACCCTTTTGATAGATGATGGTGATAAATCAAATGATGTCTCAATAATAGTCTTGGAATTATGTATACTTTCTGCTACGAATTGTTCGAAAATAAAAAAAACTACTACTATTATATTCCTTTTTTAATAATAAATATCAATGTCCAATCTAGCGATAATAAAATTAGTTTCGAGAGTTAGAACGAGCAAACCATATTGATAAAAATACCGAAAAACAAATTGAAATTGATGTCGAACTGTAAATAGACAATATCGTTTTTTATTTCAAAACCGTTTGTGAGTGGTGATGTGTACGCTTTTTTGGATAAGCCTTTGTAAATAAAACATTTATAACATCAGTAGATTTTATTAATAGATAAAACTTTATTTTGTATTTATTTTTTAAAATCCTTCACCAAAAGGTTAGGCACAATTAATTAATGTTTAGATGAACATTATAATCAGAAACATAATGATGTGACCTGTTTGTGATAGTTGTAGTCTTACTTTTAACAAATACATTCTTAAATTAGCTAATTTCACTAAGTTTCAAAAATTATGGTTTTATAATAATCAAAATTAATAATCAAAGATTTTTTTTTGTGTCTGGAACGGCAATAGATCTGATCTTGATAACTTTCTTTATTATATGAACAACATTCATACGAATCTTAATTTTAATTTAGAGGTTGCAAATGAAAATAAATTGAACTATTTAGATTTGACAATACTTAAAGGTGACCACAGTTTTACCTACGACATTTTCAGAAAACCTTCTCTAAATATTATAATTCCTTACGATTCCTTCCATCCACACAGCAAAAAATTAGCCGCTTTCCAATCATATATTACTAGGTTGTTGAGATACCCTTTAGACAGATCCGCTAAATTCGGAGAAACAAAGTTTATTAGTACTTTAGCTCATTAAGCAGGATCCTCTTTATAATTATGACAAAGACAGATTTAACAATTTTAGATCACTGACATACATACAATAACATCAACTGCAAGATTAAGTCTATTCTACAATCATACGGTGTTTATGTTGGTTTCAAGTATAGTGGACAGATCAGCGATTATTGGCCAATCATAAACAGAAAGAAGACATTTTGGACCGTAGTGGTGTTTATTCCATCGGATGTGGTGATTGTGCCGCTGTTTACATCGATCAGACTGGTAGAAAGCTACATAAAAGATTATATGAACACAAAACGAAGAATACTTCCAATATATTTAAGCATATGAGTGAGACCGAACATAACATTAATTTTGAAAGTGTAAAACCTCCTTCACAAATGCGATAAGGGTATGAGAATGGATTTTTTAGAGGGTTTTGAAATAGATAAAGTTAAACATAGACATGATCTCACCTACTGAATGATCAATTAGAATTTTTTTTATAAGCCTTTATACGCTTTTTTGAAGCATTAAATTTTCCTTATTTTTAGTTCCGACTCTTTTTAGTTTTAATTTTAATATTTATTTAAGAAATCGAGAACTAGTTGTCAGTTGTATCGAATGTGTTTTCATGAAAGTTCTTCTTAATTTATAAAAGTTTTAATCTGTTCGTTTAACTGTAAACTTTTTACATTGTTACTGTCATTTTTCTAGTGATTTTGTATGTCCTTACGTTACGACCTTTTTTATGACTGTAAGTTAAAGATTTTCTAATATTTTTTTAGAAATACGTATAATTGATTTTATTGTTCCTCTTTTATTATCTGATTCTTTGTAGATTTGGCTGATGATGACATTAAAGATGTCGAAACCGGTACCATGTAAATAAAATATAATATTTAGAGAAGAAGAGGCCTTTTTGTCTTNGCTTTCCAATCATACATTACTAGGTTGTTGAGATACCCTTTAGACAGATCCGCTAAATTCGGAGAAACAAAGTTTATTAGTACTTTAGCTCATTAAGCAGGATCCTCTTTATAATTATGACAAAGACAGATTTAATAATTTTAGATCACTGACATACATACAATAAGATCAACTGCAAGATTAAGTCTATTCTACAATCATACGGTGTTTATGTTGGTTTCAAGTATAGTGGACAGATCAGCGATTATTTTCCAATCATAAACAAAAAGAAGACATTTTGGACTGTAGTTGTGTTTATTCCATCGGATGTTGTGATTGTGCCGCTGTTTACATCGATCAGACTGGTAGAAAGCTACATAAAAGATTATATGAACACAAAACGAATAATACTTCCAATATATTTAAGCATATGAGTGAGACCGAACATAACATTAATTTTGAAAGTGTAAAAACTCCTTCACAAATGCGATAAGAGTATGAGAATGGATTTTTTGGAGGGTTTTGAAATAGATAAAGTTAAACATAGAAATGATCTCACCTACTGAATGATCAATTAGAAAATTTTTATAAGGCTTTGTACGCTTTTTTAAAGCATTAAATTTTCCTTATTTTTAGTTCCCACCTTTGATTATATATAATATGGATTGAGCTAACTGAATATATCTACTAACAAAAATGTGGCTCAAGGTGAATAGACGCAGATGGAAAGCGATAATGTGAAAGTGTAACAAAGATAGTCATAAAACGGTACTAAACAGAGGGGCGCATGCGCACAAAAGTGTCAAACCTCTTCCATTTGACGTTTATCGTTTTGTTGTGTCACAGCCAGTCACACCGTTATGTTTAAAAATGTATTGTTTCGTGTGCAAAGTTCGCGATAATAATAGAGTCACATCACCTGTAAGTATTATAAATGTTACTTCTAATTGATAGTTTTTTATCTTATAAATTAACGCACGCCCATTATATGTCAGTAGGCTTCTATGTCTATCTCGGTTCCATCACCTTGCGCAAGCTATCTCTCTCGTTGGCTCAATCCATATTATATATAATCAAAGGTTCCCACTCTTTTTCGTTTAAATTTTAATTCATATTTATAACCTGTTTGCGACAACATAAATTTTCCGCTCGAAATCGAGAACTAGTTGTCAGTTGTATCGAATGTGTTTTCATGAAAGTTCTTCTTAATTTATAAAAGTTTTAATCTGTTCGTTTTGCTGTAAAGTTTTTACATTGTCACTGTCATTTTTCTAGTGATTTTGTATGTCCTTACGTTGTCACCTTTTTTATGACTGTAAGTTAAAAATTATCTAATGTTTTTTTGAGAAATACGTATAATTGATTTTATTGTTCCTCTTTTATTATCTGATGTTTTGTAGATTTGGCTGATGATGACATTAAAGATGTCGAAACCGGTACCATGTAAATAAAATATAATATTTAGAGAAGAAGAGGCCTTTTTGTCTTTATTNTATTATCTGATTCTTTGTAGATTTGGCTGATGATGACATTAAAGATGTCGAAACCGGTACCATGTAAATAAAATATAATATTTAGAGAAGAAGAGGCCTTTTTGTCTTTATTATTACGATAAAATATGACTATGTTGCATATTTTTATTGAATTAATTAGGAATTATTCGTTTTCTGGGAGAGTAAACCTTTGACGTTTCCCAATATTATTATATGACTATCAAACGTTTGTATGTATGGAAATTTAGCACCCAATTCTTATTTTATTAGTATTTTAATTTCAATTGCTGACAATTTTCTAATTCTAATCATGATGAAATCTATGATATCAATATTTTCACTTTGTGATTTACCAGTAACCAAGCACCATTATTATTAACTTACAAAAAAATATTGTTTTCAATGTAATATTGGTTAATTTTCAAATGACTTAAAATTTTTTTGAACTATAATAAGTACGAAGGTTTTCATGGCTGGTGTTAATTAAACTAAAACTAGAACTAACACTAGAACTATCACTAGAACTAGAAATTTTCGGGTTAAGATGTTGCAAACTTTTTCAGAAACAATATTAGTTCTAGTCTTTAGGTTCTTAGTCTTTAGTGAATGTTAGTTCTAGCCGTCTTTAGAGACGTGCTCATCATCAGCATCTAAGTTCTAGTGACAGTGCAAGTGTAAAACTAGAGCTAACACTATACCTAGAACTAGAATCATTTGGGTTTAGCCGTCTTTAGCGACGTGTGGCTAAACCCGAATGATTCTAGTTCTTGGTCTAGCACTGCACAACAATTAAAACTAGAACTAACACTAGACCTAGAACTAGAAACATTCCGGTTTAACCGTGCGTCTTCTAGTTTAATACTAGCACTATCATTAGAACTAACGCAAGATCTAGAACTAGAATCATTTGGGTTTTGCCGTCTTGAGAGGCGTACAGCTAAATCCGAATGTTTCTAGTTCTCGGTCTAGTGTTAGTTCTAGTTTTATACTAGCACTATCACTAGAACTAACACAAGATCAAGAACTAGAATCATTCAAGTTTAGCCGTCTTGAGAGACATGCGGTCGAAAGTGTATAATCCACAAACAGTTCTATCCCTGGAACTCTTGATACAACCTAAACATGGTAATCCTAGCAATGCTTTGCAATCAAACTTGTTTGTTGGCTGCTCAGGTCCCTCACGTTTCAATTTGGTAGCAACACTAAACCTAGAATTAGAAACATTCGGGTTTAGCCACACATCTCTCAATACATCTAAAGTCGAATGATCCTAGTTCTAGGTCTTGCGTTAATTCTAGTGATAGTGCTAGTGCAAAACCAGAACTAACACTAGACCTAGAACCAGAAACATTCGGGTTTAGCCGTGCGTCTCTCAAGACGGCTAAACCCGATTGATTCTAGTTCTAGGTCTAGTGTTAGTTCTAGTGACAGTGTAAGTGTAAAACTAGAATTAACACTATACCTAAAACTAGAATCATTCAGGTTNTCCTCTTTTATTATCTGATGTTTTGTAGATTTGGCTGATGATGACATTAAAGATGTCGAAACCGGTACCATGTAAATAAAATATAATATTTAGAGAAGAAGAGGCCTTTTTGTCTTTATTATTACGATAAAATATGACTATGTTGCATATTTTTATTGAACTAAAACTATAACTAACACTAGACCTAGAACTAACACTAGACCTAGAACTAACACTAGACCTAGAACTAACGCAAGATCTAGAACTAGAGTCATTTAGGTTTTGCCGTCTTGACAGACGTGCTGTTAAATCCGAATGTTTCTAGTTCTTGGTCTAGTGTTAGTTCTAGTTTTACACTAGCACTATCACTAGAACTAACACAACATCAAGAATTAGAATCATTCAAGTTTAGCCGTCTTGAGAAACTTGCGGTCGAAAGTGTATAATCCACAAACAGTTCTATCCCTGGAACTCTTGATACAACCTAAATATGGTAATCCTAGTAATGCTTTATAATCAAACTTATTTGTTGGCTGTTCAGGTCTCTCACGTTTAAATTTGGAAGCAACACTAAACCTAGAATCTAGTGATAGTGCTAGTGCAAAACCAGAACTAACACTAGACCTAGAAACATTCGGGTTTAGCCGTGCGTCTCTCAAGACGGCTAAACCCAATTGATTCTAGTTCTAGGTCTAGTGTTAGTTCTAGTGACAGTGTAAGTGTAAAACTAGAATTAACACTATACCTAAAACTAGAATCATTCAGGTTTAGCCGTCTTTAGAGACGTGCTGCTAAACCCAAATGATTCTAGTTCTAGGTATAGTGTTAGTTCTACATAGTAACAGTGGTAGTATAAAACTAGAACTAGAAACATTCGAGTTCTCAAGACGCACGGTTAAACCCAGAACTTTCTAGTTCTAGATCTAGTGTTAGTTCTAGTTTTAATTGTTACACAGTGCTAGATTGTTGTATATTTTTATTGAACTAAAAGTAGAACTAACACTAAACCAACAACTAGAATCATTCTGGTATAGTTTAAGGTATTAATAGGTATTAATTTTTAATGTGTGCCCAATTAACTTGTGATCTGATATCTGATTATTCGAAGAAAAAATTCTTTCCGTTGATTTATAGTGCTGTAACATTTAGTTGGTTCGTTTAAATACGAGAAAATTTTGTTTAAACATTAATATTTATAATGAGAACAATATTCTATAACCATCTCTTGTAAACCCATCTGACGTCGTGCCTGATGATGACTCTGCTGTGAGTCGAAACATATGTAGCACTGATCCTGAACATTTAATAAATTTTCATCTTTACATCTAAATTTCTCTATTAATCCATCAAAGATGAACATGGAGAAACTAATAGCTATATTAAGCAATGTTGCACATTTTATATGGGACAGTGCAAGTACAGGGTGGTTTAAATTCGATGTCCGAATAGGCTAACTCGGAAACTATAAGAGTTAGACAAAAAGTAGCTTACATGTCATGATCTCGTTTTTCGAGAAACTGTTAATGCCGAAAACCTCATAGCGCTATCGTCTTTTGTTTTTCCCCTAGAGGCCAAAATTGGAAATATCGTAAAACCAGCAAGTGCAATTATCTTCGTTATTATTATAGGTGGAGTATTATAACTAAGACATTATATGGACACTTTTTTACAGAGAATT